CTAGTTTCCCTCTTTTTTATGGTTTCCTTTCTATATCCCGCCCACTCAGCCTCATATAATAAACTTCTCCAGCTTTTAGTTGACTATCATTGCAATTGGCCCAGGGTGATGTTACAGTGCTACAAGTTTGGGGGGGTATTTTTGTGGACTTGTGCAAGTTTAGCCAGCATTGGCTCTCAGAGACTCCACAGGAAAGCAGGTTTTGTTGGTCGTGCTGCTCACAGAAGTCCGTCTGAGTTTTTGCCAAATTTGTCCATCCTGGCAGATAATTCTTGAAGTGGATAGAGGGTTATAGCTAAATGTACCACTATGTGCGTTGGCAGTTCAGTTTCCATTTTCTGGGAAATGGCATGTGGATGTGACATTTGGCAATGGGAGGAAAAGGTCTGGAGGAGAGTAAAGAGGGAGAGGGTAACGTTGCTCCCTCAGAACCTGCAAGCTCCAGAAGATAAATAATTTAGGCCAGAGATTTTAAGAAGACAGAATGAGACCATGCTGCTATTCTTCATAATCTGATCCTCCAAGTTTCTTTTAATCGTCCTAGGAAATAATATGCAGATTCATGTTTTAGCAGGACTTCCAAGTACTTGTCAGACCAAATCAATGCTTGCATTAAAAAACGTTCTTTATAGAAATTCATTTCTGAGAGGGAGTTCATGCAAAGCGAGGGCTGCTTCTGCAAAAGGCCTGGCTCATCTCTGGCCCACAGCAGATGGGATATTGGAAAAATAATGTGGTTATAGTATGAAGAAGTAAGTCTAAAGAGAGACGTATGTCACCAATTAAGATTTCAAACTTTAAAATGAACTGAAAAACAAGTTAGCTCCTGGCAGTCTCCTTTATAAACGCTCACCAGCACGTGGTGATAACTCCTTTTCTTGCTACCTGCAGGTAATGGCATAAATGAGCTGTGACTCCTTGTTCTCTTTTTATGCTCCTCCAGCCTCGTTGTGTACACAGGGGTGAGATTTCTTACCGAGATGTCAGTGCTGAAAAAAGTCGCAGTAAGGAAGCTCCTATACCACATTTTTACCAAAATAATGTGTTTCATTTCTCAGAGATTCCCCATCAGAGCGAGGTGCAGGCTGTACGGTTGCATCTGATGTGCAAGTGCTTGTTTGATGTTACGTACTAGCAAGCTGTAATAATACCCTACCTCCTGCTATCGGTCTGCACTTAGCCTCATTCAGGAGACCAACCTTTGAACTCTTATTTGATTTTTATCTGTACAGCCACCTTGGGTAGGGCTGTTCTCAACATATAAGTAATATCCCAGTGTATAGGGCTGTAAGGGTTTTTTAATACTACTACTGGTAATTCCTCTTGCTGTTTGGGAATGAATTTTTATATTATTTTATATAATTACTTTATAATTTATATGTCTTATATATATAGTTTATCTATTTTTATATGTTATTTATATTTTTATATTAGTGAAAAATGAGTATATGTGAATGTTACACAAATTATTTTAGATCTATGAAGAGTACCCATGGTGAGGAAGGCTAGGCTGTTTTAAGTAGCATCAGTGTCTGATCTGAAAGGTCAAGTTAGATCTTTTCAAGGAGGAACTTGAGTTTGCATAAAGTATTAAATAATGAAAAAGAATGGCATAGCCTTTTAAAATTTTCTCTCTATTTCTGGGCAAACTTCAAAATGAAATAAATGCTTGGTCTGGTTTCCAGGGCAAAGGGAAGTGCCTGTTCCTGGGCTCATTGACTAGCTGAAGGGATTTGCTGTAGCCTTGCTTTGTGTGTAGCGGAGACACTGAGAAGTACAGTGCAGCTTTAAACACTCCCAGTTTGCACTGGGAGATGGGCTCAAACAATCACGGGGCACGGAAGAGGTCTTACCTTTGCTCCCCTGCATCCCAAGGGTGGTATGCACACGAGCGCTCCCTTCCTAGGCCCAGCAATGAAGAAGCAGCAACCCCATGCCTGTCTTGCATCATTTCAGTTCTTTTTTTCCTCTGTATTTCTAGCTCCCACTTCTTTTTTCCACTTGGTTTGTTTCTTTTAACAGTCTCTTGCTGACTTTTTTCTGCTGGGCTTTCAGTTTCATTAAAGCTGCCTGCACAAACGCTGTGAGAAGACGCAAAGCTCCTGCTGACCTTTTGAATGTCTCAAGGCAGCAACTAGCAAGAGAAGGGGAACTTGCGCCCTCTCCCCCAGCCTCCAAACGGTGCTGGCCGTGTCCAGCAACCAGGTCACCTTGGCATGACCTTGTGAGCAAGAGGTCTCAGTGCAGTACTGGGCCCTTCACAAGACAGGGCTTCGTGCCCTGTTGCCTTTCCTTTCTCTACCAGTGGATGTGCTGGGGGGGGTTCCCCATTTTGCCCCCTCTCCCTATAACACTATTCCCATTCTCATTTCTTTAGTGACTGTCCTAAAGTGAAAGTGGAAGCCAGTGATACCCCAGAGCAGCATCTGGAACAGTCCTTTCTCTTGAGGGAGAAATAGAGTCTCTAAAACAGGATGCAGACTGTGAGCTGCATAGATGCATTTAGCAGTGCAAGGTTAGAGGAACTGTCATGTTGGACCTACGACGCGACACTTCCAGGTTTCTTCCTCCTCAACCCTTTCCCTTTCTTCTTTCCCTTCCTCCTGTCCTTCCTCTTCCCCTTTTCTTTCCTCATCCCCTTCCCCAGTAAGGACAATTCTGAACTAAGAGTACATGTAAGCCACGGGTTTGGTGTTGGTCTAATTTCTGATGATCATACATATGTTAAGGAGGGGTTTGGGTTTTTATACATGCCTTTTTTTCCTTCTGTTGTCTCGACACCACCAAAAACCAGTTCAGCATGGTGGAAGTAAGTGGCTTATCTAAGTTTTGCTATATTGGTTGCTTCCTGCAGCTAACGGCAAAAGAGCACTGAGTGCCACAGACATTTTTTTTAATTAAAAGGTTACAAATGTGAAACTTAACCAAAATGAAGTTAAAATCTTACAATTAAAGTAGTATTGAAAACAAGGTGACAAATCAGCTGAGCTTTGTTTCTTCCCATAATTTGCTGGGGCAGGGAAATCTTTTTTGACTAATCAGTCACTTCCAACTATTTTATTAACCCCCTTTAAGTGTGCTAGTCCTAGCACCACTTATATCCAGAATACAAATGGTGTCCTTTGTACCTGAGTAGTGAAATGAGATGCATGTGAGGTGAGATGTCTGTTCCAAATAGAGGTGTTCAGACGTTTAAAGCCAGACTTTTGCTAAAGGTAAGACAGTATCCTCCTGTGGATTTTCATGGGACTGGGATGGTTTATACCAGATGAAGATCTGGCGCGTCATACATACATATATGGCTTATTTCACCCTCATACTTAGGAAAAAGGAAGTTTTAGGGTAACAGATGGATTGTAATGCGACAATGTGTAGTTTTCTGGAGCTTGAAGGAAACAGCTAGTAACTTCAGACCTCTGCACAGTACAGACAGGTGATCTGCAATTAAAGTGCAGCCTGCCAATCTCCCTGCTCTGAGCCTTGCCTCCCAGCACCTGTGAAGAGACAGGATACCTAGGTCCTTTCATACCCCATTGCTGTGCCTGGAGATCCCTGCAGAATAAGGCTGCGCTAGAAAACTGCCTCCTACAGAACAGCTGCCCTGTTGTTGTGAATTAGGAGGGACGGCTTGCTCTTATCCCAACAGCAGAAGTTAAAAATACATGGGGAGCAAGGCACCCCATTCCCACTGATTCTCCTTTGGACTCAGGGTGTGTGTGGTGTGTGTTTAACTCCCAAATGTGAGTCTCCATGCTTAGGATTTAAACATCCTGTTGGATACATATCAGCAATAGCGTTACATTCAAAGCGGCAAATAGCCGAATGATATTCCAGACAGGAAGAAATTAGCTTAAACTTGTTTCTGTCAGGCTGAGGGCATAGTGCGAGTGAATTTGGTACTTGTTTAAGAGAGGGCAGTGGGGTCAGAAGCCTCCTATTTTGGCTTGTCAGCCACAGAGACCCCAGTGACTGGTTCTGCATATTCTGTGGGTCATTGAAGAGAGGCGTTGCAGGGAGCCTGCTGTCGGTGGCCAGGGCTGCCTGCTCACGCAACTAAAACCTCACCTGGGCTCTGCAGAAGACACCTTTTCGGGAATGAAAAAAGGACAGCAGCTAGGTGGCTGCATCGCAGCTGATCACTCCCATGTCTCCCTCTTGTTGCTCTGGCTTCCGGGAGGCTGGGTGGCAAATGGGTCTAGTGCTAAGCAAAAATTTAAGAGTGTTTTGCACTGTGGCTTGATGAGCTACAATGCGTAGGGAAACAGGAAGATGGCAAAATGCATGTGCACGCTGTGGGATTGGTATATTTATTTATTTGGACAAGAACAAGTTACACTAGGTAAGTGCCACCACACCATCCATTGCACGCAGTCAAACACGCAAGATTGTTGACTCAGGTCCCCTAAAGGGAAAGGACAGTTGAGAACATTATGATAGGTAAATATCATAATTTTTCTAATGTTTGGGCTAGTTCTTGTTTGCTTTCCTACCTAGAGCACTCAGGGCCCGAATTTGTCAGCGCTTCCCCTGAAAGCACAATTCTCATGTATTTAGATGCTTGCTCGTTTGAGTCACAGTATAGGCTTTTCCTTTGCAGTACTTTGATGAATCGTTTTTCTTTCCATCCCAAGAATCAGTTATTATTGTTATGGGCTTTCCTCTTTTCCTGCACTGCACCCTGACCATTGAATACTCCTTGAATTTCCTCATCTTTCCTGTCTAAGCCACCAAATGCAGTTATGAGCAATGTATCAGATCTCTTGTTCCCATTCTTTGATGGCCTTGATTGCCACCTGACATATTTCTCAGTAACCAAATTCTCTTTCTAGAAAACAGTGCTTCTCTGGCTCCCTGGTACTGCAATATTCTTCACATCACTGAGGTTTATAAGGTGTTTGGTGAAAGGTTCTGTAGAAATGTCAAGTACTGGTTGGTATTCATGAAAAACAGGTTCTTCCCTAAGCCATTAAAACTAAGAATATCTTCTTGCAGGAACCAAGATGTCTTGGCCAATTGATGTCAGTATGGAAGAAATACCGCTGGAAGATGATGAGCGAGACAGCATAGAATACAAGATCCTAATGGCCTACGCCCAGCGGCGGTTGTCTGCCAGTAAATATGGGAAACTTCTGAAAAATGAGGCTAATGTGCAGAAATCATCGTCCTTAATCAGGAGAAAAGTAAAGATTGACCATCAAAGGGATAGAGATGGACCAAGCCAAAGACCAGTTTTGCAGTGTGGTGTGATGCAACAGCACAGCAAAAAGCAACCGAAAAGAAAATATTTCCCAGGATATTGTCTGCCTTTTCTCTGCAGCAGAGCAGAGCAGGAAAAGCCCTCAACGCTGTCATGGCACCGAGGTGACATAGCACATTTGTCCATTTTTGAGACACAGTCTGAGAGACTTCAAGAAGGGAATTCTCAGCATCAGACAAGTATGTCTTAGTTCTTTCCTTTTGCTGTTTGTCTCTAAATCTCTCTCTAAATAGCTTAAATGGCTGCTGGCCTGTGGAAAGGCAGGAGGAGGAAGGTGATTTCTTTCACTTTTTGGTCACCTCTTATGCTAGCTCTGTTGACTTCCAATTAGGAAGGCAGATTGCCAGATCTTCAGTAGTGCTTGCGCACACAAGACTCATGCTTGTGACTGGCTTTTCTGTTTTCCATCGTATGGTGGTAAGTATTGTATAACTGCACAGGTTGGTTTTTTTCTGAGCATTGGCTTTTTCTTTTTCATACCTGGTTAGAAAGAAAACATAAAACACTGGTCAGGCTGAAGACCTCCACACTAAAAGCAAGGAAGAGAAGTTGTTTGAAGGCCTGTTCAAGGAGCTTTATCATGCGATAAATATTCCACACTAAAGACAGAAGTGGTAGGTTCCACTTGAAACTCTGGTGCCAAGCAGTTGGCAGTGACCAACCTCAAGCCCAGAGCAGCCCATGTCTCTGGGCCACCTCTCATAACCTGACTTTGTATCTTAAATTGAAACAGTCCTCCAGATTTATCTAAGTCTCCTTTACACATTGCTATTATATTAAGTCTGAACCTGCCCTCCCACGTGTTGGAAGAAGAGGCTGTAGGTGGCTGTAATCCATCCGACATCCAGGGATCCCAGCCACATAAACATCTTGTACCCCAGGCCCCAAAGCCAGCCCCACATCGGGTGCTGCACTGCAGGCAATGAGATTTTACCTTTTCTGCTCTGGAAAATAACTGATACCTTAAATTCTCATACAAGATGGAGAGAGGAGGATGAGGTATCCCCACTAAGTTGACATATACAGTATATGATAAGTTGCCATGGTTTTCATACACCTAAGGTAGCAGGTTGCTTGTTTAATTTGTCCCAGCATGATACTGTTGGTGTCACAGCAATTGCTTTCCCCTTTCACTGCATTTAAAGATATTTCTAAAAATTATCCATCACTGACTTCTCCAGCCTAATGCCCCATCCCTGATAAGTTTAACTGTCCTGGGCCAGCTCTACCCACCAAGCCCATAACTCTCTGCTGCCAAATCCAGCTCTGTCTCTCAAGAAAAGGTCCCTGCCTCAGCCCAGTGCCTTTTGCTAGGGGGAAATAACTATAACTTTCCATTGTTTGGTTGCCAGGGACACATGTCTGCATCCAGATATCAGTTTTTATGTCCATTTTATTTTCACATTGCCAAGGAAAGTGCTCGAGAGTTTGGGTGCAATCACTTGATGGCCCTGCCAATACATCACCATGTTCCCTGCAGCATGGGTGGCAGCATGGCCTCAAAGTAAAACCTCCCCGTGCTGGGTGTTAACCTCTCTGGGGATCCTGCTTGGCTTCAAATCTGGGCTTTACCTTCCCTTCAGCAGATTGCTGGACCAATTCCTAAAAACATTATTAGTATTTGTCACTTCTACTGCTAGCAGCTGCACTGCAAGCTTGGCCAGGCCATTCTGGAGCGAATAGGGGTGCTTTTGGGGATTATCCACCTAAATCGAAGGCCTGTTCAATTTAAAACCACTTGCCTAATCTTGGGTTTCCAAAGTCATGAACAGCCCGATCCCCTTCCTAGAAGTTTAGCAGCTTCCTGACAAGCTCTGCAGGCAGAAGAGGGGATGGAAATGTCTTGGGGTTGATTCACCAGCCTTGAAATGCAGTTTTTATTGGCTGCCTTAACCCCCGTTGCCCTCACAATAAACTCTGCTCGTGAATTTTACACGCGTTATGGGTCAGGCCGCTGCTGGGCTTGTCTCAATGTCTGCTGGTCACGCAGGAGCTACCACTTGGCAGTGGTGGTGGGGAGATCGAGTTTTGCATCCCAAGCTCTGTGAGGCAAATTGTAAGGAAGGGCACCTTTTAGATGAAACAAACCTTGCAGCAGCTCCTCCTGCTCTCTTTGCTATAGCAGGATCCTCGTTGGAGTCCCCTCACCGAGTGATGCCTTCATCCAGTGAAGGCCCTGAACAGGGTCATTACACAAGGTGGATAAAGCCAGTCTGGTTGCTGAGTTCTCCCAGTATTCATGTCTGCTTAATAGAATAGTGTCAAGGACACGAGAAGCTTTTGTGCTAGAGGTGCCTCTGAAGTGAAGACTGCTTCTCCCTTGCTCAGGGTTAGCCTGTGAGAACAAGGGAAGAGCATCAAATACATCATCTTTTCCGAGTCTGGACCTATAGGTGAACTAATCATGGGCAATACCATTCTCACAGTAAGGTCTGAGATTCACAGTCCTATAGAGCAGTACTCTCACGTTTCTTAATATACGGTGTGCTTCTGGCTTGCAAGGATGTACACTAGTGAGCAACACTCACACTTGCTTCTGTATGGCCTCTGTATAGTTAGCTGCTGCTCAAATACTAGAGAGGGGTTGTACTGCGTTACTTGTCTCTCTAAATTATTACCAGCTGATCTCAAGCAATAGCAAAACCCCAGCATGGGGAAATATATCTCTTGGCATCCTCTGGGCACTTCCACCTCAGGGGGTATGTAAATGAGAAAATCACTGAATTATTTCCTGGAAAGATTAATTGCCTTCTTTATTTCCCACCCTCCTTCCCAATCAGGTGAAACAGCAGATGTCAACCACATTGCAGACAAACTTGCCAAGCTTGTTACTTCCAGATCCCAGGAACCTCCTTCAGATGTTTCATTCAAGATGATTTATCAAAGCGCATGCCAGAAACAAGGTGGTGGTGATCCTACTGATGGAAGTGAGGGCAAGGAACATGGTAAGGGTGAAGAATTTCATGCTCACAGGCAGTACCTCAGGTTGGGATTGCACACTGAGGCGTTTTCTCTAGACATGGTGAAGCACTTGGGACTTCTACGGTAAGGCGCTGTGAAGAAGGAGGTTTGCTCTGCTGGTTCTTGCTCTGTTGCCCATATTTCAGGAACTGCTCTTGCAATACTCTAACAAGTCCTGCCTGCTACTGCAATTAAAGGGAGCATCCTTAAAAATCCAAGGAGGTGTGACATGAGAAAAGGAGGATGAAGGTAAAGTGACGTAAGGTGACAGAGCAGTGGTAGGAGTGGCAGAGCAGGGGGCAGAGTAATACACCGGGGCTCTAAGGCCAAAGACCAGTCCTTGGGGAAATAATGTCTTGGTCACTCCATCTTCGGTGACAGGACAACACTGCTCAACAATCTTTGTTATAAGTCTGAACTGCTTGTCTTCCATGACGTCTGCAGAGATTTAGTTTTAATGCAAGCTTTCTAGGGATTTCTGGTTACAAGGGGGATCCTGCCATACTTGCATTTTCTTTAATCCAGCAAACCCAGAGTTTGTCCTAATGAGTTGCAGAAGGTGCAATTGGTAATGATGAGGAGATTTTTTTTTTCCTAATTTTAAGTCCATTTTTGAGGGCTTCTGCTAGCTGCTCTTTTGTTCTGGCTTGTTATCAGACATACCTCAAAGCCCAAAGGGCTGGCAGTGGGATGTTAAAGCCCTTGCTCTTTCCCAGATTCTTAACTGGAGCAAAACATTGGGCAGATGGAGACATAGCATTGCTTACGCCATGCAGACTAGAACAGTCAGCTTCAGCTTGAAGCCTGGATACACAACTCTCTATGAATTTGCCACAAACTAGCAGCTGTTTTCATGATTAAGTGACACAAAGGCTTTCGCCACAGTTTGCTATCTGGATCCAATGTTTATGTTACCCTTTTCTTTAACAGATGAAGAAAAGATAATACAAACAATAGTTTCACTGTTGAGACAATCAGGGGACCGACTAGAAGAAAAGGTAACTCCTTCTGTTTTCAGGAGCTACACAGGCTAGAGTGTGAGAGAGAGATTACACTTGGAAGTTAATGTTTTCTAACCTAGCGTGCTCTGTCTCTATCCTGAACTTCTCTTTCTGTATCTAGGGCTTTCTGAAACCTTCGCCATTCATCCTGAAACTTTTCTTAAGACCAGAGATCTCTGTTGGGGTGTGGGAGGAAGGCCACAAAAATGTTCTGCATTTCAAAGAGGAGTCACTTGCCTCATTCCCGTTGAGTTTCATGGGATGTTGAGCACTTGACTGACTCTGAGAAACTCTTGTGTTTGCATTAAATTTAGCATACAAGTTATTTCCAGTGGAGGAAGAGAAACTCTACAGCTTTGAGAGTTGCTGTAGGGAACTAAATCTTCTGAGTGCATTTTGACAGCCCGGTTCAAAAGCTATAGAACCACCCCCGCATGAGTCCATTAGTTGGAGTGGATGTTTTCTCTATTAAAAAATAGGTACTTGTTCCCTTTACTCCCTTCTTTAGCTGCCCCTTACCTATAAAGGTATATTCCCACATGGAGGACATGCTCAGCTCCTGCAGCAGAGAGGTACCCAGATACAGTAAGAAGCATCACAAAGACCATGACTGAACAAATGGAGCTTAGCATGGCAGCTGTTGCCAGCACTTCTCATAACCTTGCCTTTACTGTCATCTTCCCACTGTTTCTGTATTCCCACGTCTCCTCACCTGCAGGTCTCAACATCAGTGTCACACTTGTTCTGCTTTCTCTCTCTCTGCTTCTCTCATTCAAATGCAAAAAACCTGAAGATTTTTTTGAGGAAAAAACATAGAGCCACCTCCAGAGCCTGAAGGAGCAGCTTTGCAGTGAGGTGTGGGGTTTGTGTGTCATCTCTTGCATTCACCACCACAATTAGACTACCTTGCATGTGTTACCTGGAGATGTTCTCCTTTCCCAATGCGATAGGGAAAGCAGTGCCAACAAAAGTGGCTCAATTTAACCAATCCTTATTCTTATTTTCAGATCAAAAAGGACACGGTTTTGTATCAGCATTTTAAAGACATGCTGTCCTACACCTTCTTCGAGAGGATCACTGATTTGTTCCTGGAGGATGTCTCAGCAGATTCAGCAAGTGAGCCAGGAGGCCAAGTACAATGCACAAAAGTTGCCTTTACAATGGAAGTTGCTACCAGACTTACTGCTGTGGACAACCATCCTATGAACCTGGTCTTGGGCTTTGGATTAAAGTACCTCAGAGAACACTTCAAGCCATGGATTCAGGACCAGGGTGGCTGGGTATGCATTTTGCCTCCCTTGACTTGTGCATAGCCTACGGCACCTCGAAGCAGCACACTTTCACAGAACTAACATGGGCCAGATACAAACCAAACCAAACTGAGTATTCTTTAACACAGCGTGTACTCCAGCTGTGGAATTACTTGCTACAAGACATCTTCTATGCTGCAAGTTTTTTATTTACATAGGTCCAAAAATCAATAGGAGACATTCATGGAGGGTTGTTAAGTATAAAACACCATTCCTGGCACAGACAGTCTCTCCACCACAAATGGAGAAGGCTGGGAGAAACACCAGGAAACTTCACGCCTGCCCTAAACCTATACTTCTCCCTAGAAGTGTGCTGTTGGCAGGTTCTGGGGACAGCATAGTAGTTCAGCAGTTCATACAGTCTGCCCTTATGCTGTGGTATGCTTCCACTTTCCCTGTACGCAAAAGCATCTGTTTATCTTCATATCCCTCTTTCAAAGTCAGTTGTGCAAGGTGCTCTTTGGCCAGCAGTGGTGCTGAGCTGCTGCCCTTTGTAGCTCATTTACCTGTATTTGCTGGGAGGCACTTGCATCGGAGATCCTAGTCCTTTTGTGCTTCATGAAACGAATGGAAACATTCAGCAGCTGTACAGCCTGTGTCCACTGGAATAGATAGCATGTGAGGTCAGGAAATCCTACCGGCAAACCTACTGACTGACCTCAGCAGAGCTGAAATTAGGATGAGGGTCCTCATTGCTTTTATAATTGTAAGTTTTCTTTCTATGTTACAGGAGAAGGCTTTGACGTCACTGGATCAGGAAGAAGTAGAGTAATCATGACTGAATTCATTCTTCGGGGTGCAGGAGCCTTCGATTAAGGAACACACAGGATCTTACCTCAATCCGATGCCAGAATGATTAGTGGCTATGTATTTTTATTTTTTCCATGGAAGGTTGGAGTGTTGCATGCCTAACTGATGGGTACAATTGCACTTTCCTAAAGTTGGTATTGATGTAGAAGTGTTCTTCAGTGGATATGAAGGCACCTTCAACTCCTCTGGAGCATTAAGCCTCATGGATAGCGATTTTAGGTACCTTTCTGAGTAGAGGTGCTTGCCACTACTCCTACGGATGGCTGTTAAAGTGCAAACTGGAGTAAAATATCAAAGTATGCAATCAAGAACCACTGGACTGTGATCAACCATTAACCAAGTGAGACAAGTGCTGCCAGCTTTGTGTAGTTCATAGCGGTACCATCTGTTACCAATTCCACAGTCCCTTGTTAGAAGACATACCTAAACATGGCTATCGGTTTCCTCTCAGATTCTTCATATGGATTTCTTTTCCCCCCCCCCCCCCCCCCCTTCTCTGATTAGATTCTCCAAAGTGTTGATGCTATTTTATACTTCTGAAAGGGACTGAGTAAGGTTAATGAGGGCTTTTTACTCCAACGCTTTCCCCATTCCCCCAAGAAAATAGACTTGATCTACCTACAGATGCTTGTAATTTGAACTCTTCTCTTTTAAACCCCTTCAAAGCACAGCACAATAGATGTTGACTTTTACAGCATTATTTTGTCCATTAATGTGGAAGATACAAACATTGTGAGAGCTCTGTAGTCCAAGAAATTTACAACTTATCCTACTGTGTCAGTTTTCCTCCTTATTCAAAAGGAGCTCGATGCTATGTGTAATCACAGGGATTTCTCCATAAACTGAACTGGCCCTTCAGCCACTGAAAACAAGTGATCTGATTAAAGTTCTTGAACCTGTATGTGTGGCAGTGGAAGGAATAACAGTGCATCATTTAGAGTAGAGGCAGATGCCAGTGAAACTATTCATGATTTGAGGCTTGGTTCATGGCCCATTTAGTTGATGACTTTTGGATTTCTGTCCCCGGCAAATCCCCAGAGGAGAAAGAGGGAACTTGGGACATCTGCTGAAGCTGTAAAACAATTGGCATTGCTTCTGTGACTTTCCAGTACAAACAGGTAACGTTTCCTGAACAGGCTCTCTGCCTCTCAGTAAGATACCCTTCCATTATGGGTGCTCATTCTGCGTATACAAGCACGTTAACTACAAAGATTGCATGAAGAAGTTATTAACAAATCATGAATTTGAATGAAAATGATGAAAAGCATTTTAACTGGATGTGTAAAATATGCAATGCTATCAAAGATCAAGTATTTTTCTAATAAACCTTAAACTTTCTACTTGTGTAGCAAACTCTGCCTCTGCTTGGACACGTATGTGTGAAACAAAAGATGGAGAAGGTGGAAGCGGGTTACCTTTGTTTCCCTTCTTCAAAGGGGTTGGGAAATACTTGATATATCTCTAGACTGTAAATCTAAGATTCCCTTAGTTTTAAGAATATCCACTCTTTCTGATCACATCAGATGTCCCCAAAGGGGGATGATTTGTGGGGGAGAGGAAAGAACTTACTCCAAAGTTCAAAATGTTGTTGCTCTCCTTCCGTCTCTTTGTCCAACATATTTTTCCTATGGAAAAAAAATTGTGAGACGTTGTACCCTCCCACACATTGGAGACTGCTGCTTTATCATAAATTTGACTGGTTTCTAAAGCAGGCTTGTTAGCTAGATCTTGGCTCTGAAGAACTATATCTGATTCCATTTTAATTACACTAAGACTAGACTCGGTCTGTTAGTGTACACCAGTTTACCATTAGTTGGGTCCTAGGCTGTGGAAGTCACTTTTTTTTATTTTCTCTGCCTGAAAAACAGTCTGCTATTTAGCAAAATGCAAATTCTGTGTTTGTAAGTGTGGTTTTCCAGCTGAAGGTTTAGCAGCCCTAAATCCATACTTGTCCCTCATCCCCAGTTTGGTGCCTCAGAGCCAGTTTCATGCCAAGAGCGGAGCCAACAGCAAAATAGACCATCTTGAATGGGAATGCGAAAACTAGCCATCTAAGAAAAGATATTCAGCTGGTTTTTATTTTCCTCTGGGTTGTTAAGAGGGATTTTTTTCAGTAGCAGTAGGGGCCAGCATAGGAAATCAGCCAAGTGAGCTGTTTCTTATTTAGTCATTCTTACATTTGTCATCCGCATCAGTTAGATTTTAAGAGCAACCTACTGCTTTTATGGCAGGGATCTGTGGTAACCTCCTTGCTGGAACGATGGCTTTGGTTTATTCTAAGAGCAGTCAGCAAGGTTGGGCACTGAGCTGTTGCCACTGCTGCTGCCTGGCATGAATTAACAAAGCCCTACTACTGGCTCAACCAGTCTTTGTCTTGCTGTCTTTTTTAATCTGTGATGACTAAACTAGCAGCAGACAAATGCGTGCATTTTGGGTGTGTATGGAAGCAGAAGGGATGCTGTGAGGGAGGGTGACTGGCCATGCCTTCATTTTATGTTAATCTCCCACAAGACATCTTTGTCTGTGTTTAGCTGTAGGACCCTCTGGTGCCAATTTGGGGTGTTACTGTAAAAGATAGAGAGGTTTACTGTTAAAACAAGAAGTGTTGCTTGGGATTTTTCTTCTTGTATACCTACCCAGGTCAGCATCACGCTATTTGTTATATCAGCAAATTTAATTCTAAAATGAGCCGATTTCACTGTGTGTTAAGGTTGCAACAAGAGTTTAGCCCTGTGCAGGTGATGCTGGGATTTATTTTTAAAGGGCACTAGAAGCGTCCTGCAGCTGCCTTCTGCGCTGTCTTAAAGGGAGCCAGTCCACTGGGGCAGCCTGTGTTAGCACCCAGGAGCTGCCGTCCCAGCCTAATGTCACCCTCCGAGAGTCGGGGCCCCAGCAGCGAGTGGGACCTGCCCCACCTGCCATTCCCTGGAGCGGCTAAAGGCATCAGGTAAGAAGATCCCACTGTCCACCTGCACACAAAGGAGCTCTGCCCTGCCCTGGCTCATAGCTGCAGTGTCCCTTGCTCCAGTGAGTAAGCAGGAGGCAGAAATAGTAGAAAACAGCCTGGAGCCTTCGCCCAAAACCAAACATTTTACTGGTCTGTTACTTACTTTTGCTTCAGCTCTCAGAGGGCTAGATTTCTTTCAGCTCTCAGGAAATGCTGGCAAATCCAGTATTTCTCTAAAATAGGCTGATGAGGCATACGGAGGCATCCTTGGGTCTTCTCACCGCATTGCACGGTCTCTGTCTTTTTAAGCTGATGCTCCTTTCTCTCCTTCTCACAGGTGAGGAGCGTGCTACCAATACATACGTTTGAGTAGACAGAAAAGCAGCAGGTGGACGGAAAGTGAATTGCAGCGAAGCACTGAGGGGACTAGCTCAAGAGACATCATTGTCTGAAAAGTAGATTTACTGCCTATGACTTGTCTGCTGTAGAGGCTCACAATCTGGAACAAGTTCAGGGTTAAAAGTTCACAGCTGGGGCGTTGTAGTGTGAGTGAAGGGTGAGAACCAAGCAGAAAACATTAAAGCTGATTGCCTTGCTTGTTTGTTATCTGCAGCTGTGATGCTCTTGCCAGGGATGGTGTAAACCCCAGAAGGGAGACAGAAATTCTAGCTCTGTTGCATGATACCTAGCACAGCAGGTTGTGGGGTGGGGTTAGGAGGTGTCCTGGGGCTGGAGCTACTGCGATCCATCCTAGTCAACCCACAGAGGTGGTTTCTCCTGTGTCCCGTGATCTGCTGCAGCCAAAGCAGAAAGCTTTTCACTGTGCAGATGCAGAGACAATGCATTTTCCTGCCTAGGGTGGTAGAAATGATGGGTTGCAGAAAGATTTCTTGCTGGAATCAGCATCTTTGCCGTCTGATATGATCTCTATGCTGACTTTCATGATAGTCTTCCCCTTGTCTTTCTACCTCAGGTCACTTTTGGCAGATCCATGCCAAACATGGCTTTTATCTCTTCTCTAAGGGGCAGCTCAGATGCCTCCCAGCCAAAGCTAGCATGCTAAAAGGGAAACCAAGGGATGCTGGAGGCAGATGGGGCTTAAGTTTTTAGAAGTTAAACACCCAAAGTGGAACTGTCTGTCTGCTGCTGCAGTGGTTCTGCTTTAAATATTCATTACGCATAGCACTGCAATGGAAAATTCAGGTTATGCTTATGTTATCTTCCCTAGAGATCTGAACCTGGATTTTCTTGCATGCCAGCTAGCTGTTCTAACCCCTGTCAATGTGGATAATACAACCACTTGGATAATATCACCAGTATTATCCTCTCTGCTCTCCTCCAACCTGAAATGATATATATCCAGGGAAGCATCTGCTAGATTGGTCCTGTTTGCTAAACAGGCAAGAGGACAGCCTGTACGAAGAAGCTCATCACCGCTCAGGCTGAGGGCTCTGCTCGTGTCTGGTGGCAAAAACGCAGGCAAGTATGGGACTACTTTTGTTATGCAAGGCCTGAAGGAAGTCTTTGGTGATGCCAGTGGTGCCTACATATTCAGTGTAGGTGCCTGCAGTGGAATTAAAATCTTTTGGTGGGTCAAGGCTCTAGGACCAGCCAGAGGCAGGGGTATGAACCATACCAGGCTACAGGAAAACTACATAGATGCTCTGTATTTAAAGTAGCTGAGTGTGCCTGGCTTCAGCTGGCTTGGTTTTCTTCTTCCATCGAACTTGTGTGTCTTTGTGTCTTGGGAAAGGTGCCTTCCTGTGAGCACCTGGGTTACAAAGATTTTCTGTGGGGCAGGGGATATGGGAATTGCTTCAGGCATTATCATCATGTAAAGCATTAGCGAAAAGGTGAGGGTGACCTTGTGACTGACCTTCTCTGGCAAAGCTGTGGGAGGCTGTTAATAGCAGCCAAGTCTTGTGCTTTCCCTTGCCAACCCTAACATCAAAAAGCCCTGAGCGAGCGCCTCAACCTCTCCCAGAAAAACCTTGAGAGATTAACCCCCTTAGGTG